GTTACTGCAAATGACTTTTCTTTTTTCGTCGAGTTTTAAGCGACCTCTGATTAATAATAATAATTATAACTAATAATAATAGTAATTATAATAATAATAATAATTATGACGGTCTCTCATCTCATTGTACAGTAAAATTGGAGGAATTTATGAGGAAGAGGCGACTTCTACGTCGGGCCAACGTGTCCCATCTTGTGGAGTTCATTCCAGTTTATGTAGCATTAAAGCGATTAGGATTATTTGTATTCCTTCAGGGATGGGATAATAGTTCATTAGCCGGTACCCATTTATACGCCTGGTCCCAGTTATTCAAAGCTTGGATAACGCTATCCACCGGATAAATCGCTATCCGGTGGATATGCGTTGACAAAAATTAAAAAAAAAAAAATTAAAAAAAAAAACCCGCACTATCCACTGGATAGTTTGATTTATCCGGTAGATAGGGTTTTCCATCTTTTGAACAACCGGGGCCTGGATGGAGAGAGGCACCCTGACAGTAAATTGTCTTGCCCTGGGGTCTGGGGAACGGACCTGGGGGGTGCGGGGACGGACCAAGCGATCGCGAGTCCGGCTTAATAAAAATCGGTGCACAGCGTAACGCGCCGTACAACAACAACAACAACAACAACAACAACAACAACAACAACAACAACCGGCCAAACAAACAGAGAACAATACAATATGGCCTTGAGCTGGCTTTTTGCAAACTTACGCACCTCATGAATCCAGCTTCCCGTGATGGTCGTGCCATGGATAAAATCCTTGAAGAAGAAATCCAGTTTCTCAACAGATTGTGGAGTTTCTGCGAAGATCAATTTATATAAATTGTAACTTCATGAATTTCGGTTAAAGCGAAGGAACTACTTATTCATTTGATGGAGCCTTTTAACAAGTCAAAATAAAGGAAAACGAAATTTAAGTATGTATCCATTTGTTTGTTCGTCTCGTTTAATACATACTTAAATTTCGTAAAATTAAAAATGTAACCGTTTAAGCGCGCGCTTCAAAGAGAAAATACCGAACGACGCTCGCGCAATGTTACCAAGTGAAGATTTCCATGACAACCATGATTGTTTGTGTTTTCCGAAAAAGTGAAACATGTTTTGTCTGTCAACTTTCCCAACGGTGAAGAACCAAACATTTTGTTCTTAAAAGCTGCCGTGAATTTCTTCTTTGCAATCAGCCAATAAAAACTACCTGATTTGTTTAGAAACCCTAAGTATCCATTTAGAGAAAAATGCATTTTGTTAGTGTGTAGGGTTAAATCTTTTTTTTAGTGTGCGACGAAAAAAGAAAACAAGAATAGAGATGAAACACACGAAAAGACTCACCGTCTCGTTTCAGAGTGTGCGTAAGATACGCTAAAACCAAGAAAAATGTCAAGGCCGAAAGCGGAAATATCACCTCCATGCTTGACAACAAAACTTTTTTCTTCTCACAATGAACGCACAACTTGACCGTTCCGCGGAAAAGAGCGAAGTGAAAGGTGACGTCACAATGAGTGTCTTATGACGCAGCGCGCGTGGAACATATTGGCTCGTTCCCAGCTTTTTTTCCACCAAGTCAATTCAGTGTGCAGTCTTTTTCCGAAACCATTCTGTTTAGCTAATTAAATTAAACAGAACATGTTCTTACCTGTAAAAGTACTTCGTACATTTGGTCGAAAGTNTTGCAAACTTACGCACCTCGTGAATCCAGCTTCCCGTGATGGTCGTGCCGTGGATAAAATCCTTGAAGAAGAAATCCTGTTTCTCAACAGATTGTGGAGTTTCTGCGAAGATTAATGTATATAAATTGTAACTTCATGAATTTCGGTTAAAGCGAAGGAACTACTTATTCACTTGATGGAGCCTTTTAACAAGTCAAAATAAAGGAAAACGAAATTTAAGTATGTTTTCATTTGTTTGTTCGTCTCGTTTAATACATACTTAAATTTCGTAAAATTGAAAATGTAACCGTTTAAGCGCGCGCCTCAAAGAGAAAATACCGAATGACGCTCGCGCAATGTTACCAAGTGAAGATTTCCATGACAACCATAATTGTTTGTGTTTTCCGAAAAAGTGAAACACTTTTTGTCTGTCAACTTTCCCAACGGTTAAGAACCAAACTTTTTGTTCTTAAAAGCTGCCGTGAATTTCTTCTTTGCACTCAGGCAATAAAAACTACATGATTTGTTTAGAAGCAAAAGTATCCATTAAGAGAAAAATGCATTTTGTTAGTGTGTAGGGTTAAATATTTTTTTTAGTGTGCGACGAAAAAAGAAAACAAGAATAGAGATGAAACACAAGAAAAAACTTACCGTCTCGTTTCAGAGGGTGCGTAAGATACGCTAAAACCAAGAAAAATGTCAAGGCCGAAAGCGGAAATATCACCTTCATGCTTGACAACAAAACTTTTTTCTTTTCACGATGAACGCACAACTTAACCGTTCCGCGGAAAAGAGCGAAGTGAAAGGTGACGTCACAATGATTGTCTTATGACGCAGCGCGCGTGGAACATATTGGCTCGTTCCCAGCT